CTTTTTTTCTCCTTCCTCCCCCTCCTTCCTCATCCTCCTCCTCCTCCTGCCTCTTTCCTCATTTCCTCCTCTCCTTCTTCACTCCTCTTCCTTCTCCGGATCCGCCACTTCCTCCTCCTCTCTCCTCCTCCTCTCCTCTCTCCTCTCTTCCTCCTTCTCCTTCTTCAACTCCTCCTTCCTCCTCCGCCTCCTGCCTCTTTCTCCTCTCCTCCTCCTCCTCCTTTCCTCTCCTCCCACCTCCTTCCCCTCTTCTATGATCACACTAACAATGTTGTTATTGTTGTTGTTGTTTACGTTTAGGATTCGGAAACTCGGCCGTAGACATTGCCGTTGAGCTAAGTCACGTGGCTGACCAGGTAAGTCGATCCTCACGCCATCTGTAGGGTCAAACTGGAACAATAATGGGCAAGCATACGACTGTCTAAATCATATTGGTCAAGCAGGGTCGTGTGGCTATTTAGCCCGATGTAGTCACTCGCTCACTCTGACATATACATTACCGCTTAACTTAAAGTAATAAACAATAATAGTAAAGTAGCTATCAAAACAGTTACTATAAATGCATAAAACAGTGATAACTCATTTAATTCGCATACGTATCTAACCGTAACCTACTCGCCAGAAGAAAAAAACTAGCGAAATAATCAGCACAAATATTCGGTTTCATCTGTCGACACGTCTGTGCATTTGATCCCCCGCCGTCACACTGTTGATTGCTTTTCTGCAGTGTATCTGAGCACGCGGCGAGGAGCGTGGGGTCGTCGGCAAGAAAGGACCGTTCGTATCCGACTGACGTGCTGGCGAACAGTCGCATAGCGTTCGCACTGCCACGCAGCGTGCTGCAGTGGCTGGTCGAGTGGATGGCCAACATCACCTTCTCTCACGACATGTACGGCATCAAACCGAAGCACAGGTGAGTGCGCAGCGACCTCTACGGATGAGTGTAGCGTGATAGATGCGTACATATACCCCCCCCCGCGCTCACACACCGCGCGACGCACACACCACACCGCCACGCACACACATATACGCGAATACATACACTAACTGCTACTACTACTTACTACTATACTACTTACTATACTACTACTACTACTACTATACTACTATTACTATTACTACTACTAACTACTATTACTCTACAATATCCTCGGAGGAGGAGGAAGAGGAGGAGGAGAAGGAGGAGGAGGAAGAGGAGGAGGAGGAGGAGGAGGAGGAAGAGGAAGAGGAAGCGGAGGCAGCTAGCGGCGCGGGGGATGCCGGTTCAGTGTGGCAGGCGGGCGGCGCGGCATCTCAGCACAGAAGCAGACGAGCGTTAGCGCTGATAGACACACTACCGCTACCGCTGCCGCTGAACTACGGGGCCGCCAGAGTTGGCAAGCAGCCAAGAATCGCGTATCTCCCCCCCCCCAGCCCCAGCCCGTGGGCATTCCCTTTCGCAGCGCACGTGTGTGTATCTATCTTAAGATATTCGTGTGTAGCTTAGCTAGCATGTGTGTGTGTGCGCGCGTGCATGTGTGTGTATGTGTGTGTGCGTGCATGCGTGTGTGTGTGTGCGTGCGCGTGCGTGTGTGTGCATGTGTGCGTGCGTGTGTGCGTGCCCGTGCGGTAAGCGTGCGTGCGTGCGTGTGTGTGTGCGTGCGTGCGTGCGTGCGTGCATGTGTGTGTGCGTGTATGTGCATGTGTGCGTGTGTGTGCATGTGTGCGTGCGTGTGTGCGTGTATGAGTGCCCCTGCGGTAGGCGTGCGTGCGTGTGTGTGTGTGCGTGCGTGCGTGCGTGTGTGTGTGTGCGTGCGTGTGCGCGTGCGTGCGCGTGCGTGCGTGCGTGCGTGCTTACCTATAATCAGTATACGCTTGCCCATCATGTCCTTGCCCGTGCGGTAAGCGTGCGAGTGCAGCACGCTGCCTGCGAACATGTCCAGACCGTCGAACGTGGGCACGTGCGGGTTCCAGTGATGACCCGTGCACAGCATGACGCCGTCATACGTCTCGACGACGCAGTCTGCGTCATCGTCGCCGCGTCGCCGATACGCGACCGTCCAGCGGCCCGTCGTCTCGTAGTCGACCGCCGGACGCACGCCGACGACGGCGACGTTGAACCGGATGTGACGCATCAGGTCGAACGCTTTGGCGTAGAGTCGGAGGTAGCGTAGGAAGAAGGCGTGCGACAGGAAGGGAGGGTAATCTGCAGGCACGGGGAAGTCGCTGAAACCTGTCAGCTCCTTACTCGTGTTGAAGACGCACGAGCGGTAGACGCTCGCGGCGTCGGCGTCGTCCTTGTAGCGCCACAGGCCGCCGACGTCGCCGTCACGTTCGAAGCAGACGGGTTCGAGTCCCTGCTCGACGCAGGATTTGATCGCCGTCAATCCACTGCTGCCGCCGCCGATGATGGCGATACGCTTGCGTGCCGTCGTCATGCCGACGCTGACGCTGCTGCTGCTGTTGCTACGGTTGCTGCGGTCGGTGATGCTGCTGCTAGTGGCGTCGGTCGGTGCTGGCAAAAAGTTCACTCGTTGGTTTCGTCGTGGCGTTGACGGTGATGTTGACGATGGTCGGGGTTCTTATACGGAGAGGTAGCTTCTCATGATGGCACCGGTAGACATGGGATCTCCCCCGCGCACATGGAGCATGAAGGAATCTCCGGAAACAGGGAAGAAGTTCTAGGGATGAGACGTCCGCTGCTGCTGCTCAGATACAGAGATCGTCGACCGATGCGAAACTGTTCTCAAAACACAATCTCTTACGATCTGTTCTTCTCCGTAGATTCTTCTTCTTCTTCTACTTCTTCTACTACTTCTTCTTCTTCTTCTTCTTCTTCTTCTTCTTCTTCTTCTTCTACTACTACTACTTCTTCTTCTTCTTCTTCTTCTTCTTCTTCTCCTCCTCCTTCTTCTACTACTTCTTCTTCTGCTTTTTCTTCTTCTTCTCTCCTCTCTCTCTCTCGCACAGCTATAAGCACGCTGCCCCACAGAGTGTATACCGATGCACGTACGCAAACACTGAATCTCCGTCCACTCGGATCTCAGTAAGACAGAGCGAGAGATAGATAGATAAATAGAGCTAGATAGATAGATAGATAGATAGTTAGGTAGGTAGGTAGGTAGATGTGTAACGGTGTGTGACGCTGGCCCGCGCGCCTGCTTGAATCGTCTGCTCTTATCGTCGCTAGCTCTGTACTGCCGTGCCTGCCGCCCGCCACCGCTTATGCATATCTCCGCGTGACGTCACGCGCTACGTCACGGTCACACCTCCGTGGTCATGTGAGAGGAGGCGCGTGGGAATGCCGCGCGGCTGTCAGCTGCTGCTGGGGAAGCTGTGAAGGAAGGAAGGTGGTGGTGGCGCGCGGGGGGAGGGGGAGGAGGGTGCGAGAGATGCGCGCTAGCACGTGCCGCGGTGACGGAGGAGGAGGCGGGAGAGGAGAAGACGGAGGAGAAGGCGGGAGCGGGGGAAAGGAAGGAGACGGAGGAGAAGGCGGAGGAAGGAGTGGGAGGAGGAGGCGGAGGGAGAGACGGAGGAGGAGGCGGAAGAGAGAGACGGAGGAGGAGGAAGGAGTGGGAGGAGGAGGCGGAGGGGGAGACGGAGGAGAGAGATGGAGGAGGCGGCGGAGGAGGAGGAAGGAGTGGGAGGAGGAGGCGGAGGGGGAGACGGAGGAGAGAGATGGAGGAGGCGGCGGAGGAGGAGGAGGCAGGCGGCAAGCGAAGGACGGAAGCGAGTGGGAGGAGGCAGGCCGGGCCCCAGGGCGGAGCCGGAGGAGAGAGATGGCGAGGAGGCGGCGGAGGAGGTGGCAGGAATGGGAAGGAGGCGGCAATGCGAGGGGGAGACGCCGCGCACAGAGAGCACCAGTGGAGGAGAGCGGGCCCACTCTGAAGGGAGCAGAGGCGGTGGAGTCACACCGCCGGTGCTCCTTGTCAGCACGTCCGGGGCTCGATGCTCCCCCAGCGGCCGCACCCCCACTGGACCGTGCTCGGGAGCCCCTTGACTGGAGGCCACGCACCAGCGAGGAGGACGGAAGGAGTGGGAAGGAGGGAGGCGGAGGAGCCGAGGAGAGATGGGAGGAGGCGGCGGAGGAGGAGGAAGGAGTGGAAGGAGCCGCGCCGGACCCGGGAGGAGACGGAGGAGAGAGAAGGAGGAGGCGGCGGAGGAGAAAAAGACGGAGTGGAAGGAAACGCCACAGCGGAGGAGACCGGAAGAAGATGAGGCGGCGGAGGGAAAATCCCACGACCCGACGAAAAAGCATCACCACCGTAACACCTCCAAGTATAATGAAACCTACCACCCCCAACCGTTTATGTGACAATAGACGGTGACGACGCCTAGACTGAGCGGCGCCTCCTAAAAAGGTGGCGGCAGGAGAGACCGATGATGATGATGAGCTAAGAACACGATGATGATGACGAATAACTAAACGTAATATGACGATGATGAAGAATAAGCTGAAATACGAAAAATGAAAATAGGAACAGCGAGCGAGTGGACGGAGTGACGTACTGCTGTCGCTGGCGGTGACGGTGGGGCCTCCCGCGGGCCGCCCCGGGGGGAAAAACGATGGCGATGGCAAGGCCTGAACGCGTGGGCAGCTGTTGCACACAACGCAATGTGATACATAAATATTAAATATATAAATTTACTATAACATAGTGTATATATATATATCATATATTTATTTATGTTATATTTATTTATTAATGGTGTGTGGGGGAATATGCGTGCAGCGGCGTGTCGCGCGGCGTTCGTGGCGTGCGGTGTGTGTGCCGTATACTAAATATATTAAACATACTGCGGTAAGATGTTATATAGTATACTATTATATTATATATGATATATATATATATTTATAAAATTCATCTATATTTATTTTATTTATTCATTTATGTATTCTATATATTTATTTATGATAATTGGTGTCGTGTGCAGGACTCGCCCTCTCTCGGCGTTTCGTGGGTTTTTCTGCGTGTAATTTGAGCAGCGCCACACAACGACGAACATCAATGTTATAATGTGTGCGTGTGTGTGCCAGCCATCGCGCGCGCGTGCGAAGCTGCTAGGCAACGTACCAGCGTTAATTGCTGCTGACGCACATTCCTTTCCCTACACCGTAGTGACTGCCTGTGTTACTGACTGCGCGATACGTGGTGCGTAGAAAGCCGTGCAGTGTACCACGTGCGTATGTGTGTGTGCGTGTAGTGCCTTGCGGTGCGTGGCCTGGCCCATGTGACTACGTGCGTGTGTCGTGGGCATAGTGTGTGTCATTGTTGTGCGTGCGTAGCGTTCGTGTGTGTGTGTGTGTGTGTGCGTGTGTGTGTGTGTGTGCGTGCGTGTGTGTGTGTGTGTGTGTGAGTGTGTGTGTGTGTGTGTGCGTGTGTGCGTGAGTGCGTGCGTGCGCGCGCGCGTGTGTGTGCGTGTGCGTGCGTGTGTGCGTGCGTGCGTGTGTGTGTGTGTGTGTGTGAGCGTGCGTGAGCGTGCGTGAGCATGGGCGTCTGTTTTTATAAGTAGCCGCAGAACTAGTGAAGAAACTTTTATATAGCAGAAGTTTTATGACATCATTAGCGCGATAGTAGCTGCGAGTTACACACATGGAGCCCTTTCTCAGAAACCAAAATGAGTCTTAACATTAACTTTGACTCGTAGACCGTTGGCAGAACATTGTAAAGTTACGCGAACGAAAAACCATAGCAAATTTCCTTTTAACATTACGAGATCCTAGACAGAGAGAGAGAGAGAGAGAGAGAGAGAGAGAGAGAGAGA